CCCCCCCCCCCCTCCAATAATTTCCACTTATATAAGCAAAACACACAAAAGAACTACAAAAGTGCAAGAACAATTCAGATTTATTCTTGAGTCCCCCCCCCCGCCCCATCAAATTTAATATTGATTTACTTCCGACGACCTTGTAACCTTGTAACATCCTACCTACACAGATTTTTTTAAATTCTATAAGGCCGTACATACAAGGTTAGTACCCTATTGAATGGGCCCTTGTTTGCCCCGGTTAAAAAGGTAAGCATGAACTACTAAGTGTGTCAGCTTACTGTATTTAGTTCATGAAACAAGATAATTAGGAAAGTAGTTAAAGAGGACACATTAGGACACATTTTGTCGCGAATTTGTGTTTTTGCTATCCCCGGCGATGTTCGCCCAGTACGGAATGAAAAGGCAGTGCACAATCTGTGCAGAGTCCATTTCGCACGTTGGCATACAATTTGGCATCAAAATTGTATATTGTTTATTATAATCATATCCTTTTGGCAGTGGTAGGCTAGATTCATCCAGGTTGTTTTAGGTGCATGCTAGGTAAACAGACGAGGACTCTGAACCGGGCAGCAGTGCATTTCATAATTTACAGTATGCTTGAGGAGTAGATACTTAGGGTTACTAACCACAATTATACATGCCACATGAAATACCTAAGGTTACATTGTGGAAATATATTTGTAATGCTATAATTATATACAATATCTCAAATGCTCAGAGACATGATAACCCCCCCCCCCACTCAATTAGCCTCCCCCCCACTCAATTTCCATTTTTACCATCCCCTGTTGGCCATGGGTGTGCACCTCTGTCAACCCCCCTCCCCCCTATAAACCCATCATGGCTGCTTTGGTGCTAATTAAACAGTGCAATCTTGAATGGCCTGTGCTGGGCTAGATAGAAACAATATCAAGATAACTGCAGATTTCGAGAGATAGAACTACCTGAACTACATTCCGCATGGCGGTATGGGTCTGTGGATTGAATATAAACCAGGCTATTATTACAATTTTCAAAATTGAACTTGAAACTATAATTAACAAAAGTTCAGTGTTAAAAATTTCTTACCTTGACCAATCTATTTTTTTACTTTTAAAGCATAACTCACTGAAAGTTTGAGACATATACGGAAATTAATATAAATTAATAATATGCATAACAATATTACTAGACTGTGATTGGTTGATTTCAGTGCAGTTAATCCCAAACAGCAGTGCAATTTTCTGTAATCACAGTGCAATTTTTTGCAATCACAGCACAATTTTCTGTAGTCACAGTGCAATTTTATGTAATCACAGTGCAAAAATCTGTACCAAACTGATCTGATTAGTGGAAAAAAAATTGTGATGATAAAATCAACCAATCAGTTTAAAGCATGCAGTTTATTTTAAAGAATTAACGGTCACAGATTGCTCCATAACAAAACAAACATGGCGCCGCGCTACATAAAGTAAAAGTTGACTTCGCGTGGAAAATATGGCTTTTATCTTTATTTTTAAATGGAAAAGCCTGTACCTTAATTAAACAAGACTAACAAAACTTACATAGTTGAGTGGAATTTTCAAGCTGTTGACGTTGTAGGCTATAATGTGATATAACAACGCCAGGAAAACTTTACCAGTGAAATGTTCGCTATAAACATAAAACGCTATAAAACTACAATTGTCTCGAACATTTTTATGTAAATTATTAATAAGTAATAGCATCGTTTCTCGTGAAATTTGGATAAACATGCATTCGTGAGTTTTTCAAAGACCTCAAATAGCACTCGTCCTTCGGACTCGTCTTATTTTGAGGTCTTTGAAAAACTCACTCGTGCATGTTATATCCAAATTGCACTCGAAACCATGCTATTACTAAAACAAAATATAGTTAACTAAATTAACATCTAGGCATGATGACAAATTATTTTTGCTGATGAAGTCCCAGCCCAGAACACAATCATATGGTATATTATATATTATTAACTAAAAAGTCCCTATTAAAGCGTGCACGAATTCCTAAGAATTTAAGAGTACTAGATATGTGACATTGTATCCCATTATGGAAACACATTTGGCTTTCTTCGACTTATTCAATTTACGATCGTCAAAGTCAACTGTTCGTTGTACAGACTGACTAATGAAAGATTTCATGGAACCAGAGTCAACAAGAGCGTGAAGACGAACTTCATCCACAAAGCAATCAACAAACGGGTGGATAATAGGACATTTATCCATTACATTTGTACTTACGATAGGATGGGCGCGATCTCCTCCACTTTTCCGTCCAATACTTTTGAAGTTTAAATGACGTGGTAATCTATAATCTCGCGCACCGTGCCCAGGTTTTCCACAGTTGAAACATTTGATAGTCCGGCTGTCGCGTACAATCCCGAGCAAAACAACCTGGTAAACCACACGTATAAGAGGATCCAGGTGGCGAGGGACGACGCGAAGTACGAGTAGAAATGTCCGTACGTTTCAGGCGGTTCTGTAGTGCTTGCTGTTCTGTAGTGCTTGGGGTTATGCTCCAGCATCTTCCGCTTCAGTGATTGAGGTAGACCTCTTGAGAATTGCCTCGTCAACAACGCAGTTTTTGCGTCCTCCGAAAGGGTCGGGTCAGCTTTTGAGAGCATATTCTTCAACTCCCATTTATACACTGACGGATCTTCTTCAGGCCTCAAAATTCTGAGTTAAAACTCAGCAAAAAATTTCCGCGCTTTGTTTGCGGACATGGGGCTAGTCGCATCCATTTCACCGCATCCGCGTAAGATTTCCTGTCTGCTGCTAGAATACATAAAAATTACTGGCCGCTCAACCACGCAAGAAGGCTGGCAGTTTTAGGATTTTCCCGTCGTTAGCCTCGGTTGCTCGCCCAACCATTTGCAGCACAACAAACATCAAATTCGCGTAACCAAGCATTTGCAGCACAACAAGCATCAAATTCGCGTAACAATGCTCTGACACTGCAGATAGCCAAAATAATGGAAGGCTTTACTTTGGAACCCTTACTGGCCGATATTGGCGACCAGATTGACCCATATCAGTTTGCGATGAAAGGCCGTTCTACAACAGAACCATTAGTCTTTTTACTACATAATGTTCTGGAGACCCTTGACCGAGGTGGTTCCTTGGCTCGCGTATTTTTCGCCGACTTTAGTAAAGGTTTTGACTTAGTTGATCACGGTGTCCTAGTTGCTGAATTAGAGAAATTGAATGTACGCCCCGCTGTAGTGGGATGGATTCGAGCCTTTTTGACGAGAAGGAAAAAATGTGTTCGCATCCGCGATAAGATGTCCTCGTTTAAGTGTCTTAACGGAGGTATACCTCAAGGTACCAAACTAGGCCCTATTCTATTTGGTCCTGGTAAATAGTCTACTTCGTGATTGGAATTTCAGAATCAAATTCGTGGACGACCTAACAACTATAGAATTTATCCCAAGATGTTCACGGAGTGTGACTCCCTTGCTGGTCAATGACATCTATGATTATGCCTCTACAAGGGGCATTCGATTAAACTCGAAGAAATGCAAAGAAATGATAATTAATTTTCTCCAGTACAAATTACCATTCCAAGATGCATTACAGGTCGGAGGGAATACAATTGAAAGAGTATCATCATACAAGTTACTTGGTGTTATTTGCATAACGATCTCTCATGGAATCTACACTGTGATTATAGTACTAAGAAAGCTAATAAGAGAATCCATATACTGCGTATACTACGGACAGCAAGGATTGGGTTTCAACAACTTGTAACAGTATACTGTAGCTTAGTGAGACCAATCCTCGAATACGCTGCCCCTGTTTGGTCTGCTATTCCGGACTACTTAAAAGCTAAAGTTGGGACAGTCCAAATTAAAAGCGGCCTCAAAAATAATTGACCCTGGATCGTCATATGAAGAATCGCTGCAGAAGGTTGGTCTCCAAACGTTGATTAAAAGACGAGAAGAGATTTGTAAAAAGTTTGCTAAAGACAATAAATCGTCTAGTCCACTCAAAAATTTCTTCAATTACTGTACAACAGCGTTGTGATAAACCATGAACATAACTTACGACATCTAAGCGAATCTAAGTGTCCTAATTCCATAAATACTGATAGATTTTTAAATTTTATAACTTGCAAATATTGATATCTTCTAACATGTAAAATATGTAACTTGACAGATTTTTAAAGATATAGTTTTAATATTCTTGATCATTTATGTTTTAACTTGTAATTCAGCATTTGCTGCAATAAGTTTTTGGATAAACCTATTATTACATTATTATTATTAAAAGAGACAAAATTATGAACACACACACAATTAAGTCCAACACATGTAAATACTATGAAAGCTTACGCATGTAATACGAAATGCTCACAAAAGACATTCGAACTACGCGCAAATAAGTCGAACCTCTCGCACACAAGTCTAAATGCCACACACAAAAAAGTCGAACTTTCTTCGTGGACGGTTCGGCAAATTAGCATGTTAATTTAATTAGGACAAAAAAATTTGCATACACTTCCGGTTTACAGCGGGAGAATAGATGCTTTAATGCTTTAATGAAATACTCCTAAAACAGTATTATACTACACTAGGAGGAGTTATATATACTGAAAAACTAGATAATATTTATATTTATTTGCAAGAAATTAGTCTTCATAATCACTGCATGACACATATATTAGGCGGTGATTATAGAATGATGTTGTTATATGTTATTAACAACAACAATGGCAAAAGCGACAAACGACAATAACAACAACGACAACAACTCTAAGACTACAAAACGAACATATAGTACAATACAAACGATTCGAAACGATACTAATTACTATTTAGTAGAATGTTGCGATTTCCCGCGTTTCAACTACAAGGCACTCTTTTGGCTCACGTGTTTGGCTTAGCATGGAAGAGGATAACTTGCATGTGACGAAGATATAATTCAGTCGTTGGTCCGGAGAATAGTTGGCGATCTGTTTTTCCCACATAATAGGCCCAGGCAAGACCAGCAAATAATTGGGGCCACTGAAGCTTGCCGAGAACTAGAGCTGATAACGGGAAACGCTGACGCCGAGAAACATTGTAAATGGTCCTGTTGTTACTTCCTTGACTTCGTGTAGTTTTTGTAGGTTGAATTTGTATTCACCCCTTGGAGGAAGCAGGCAAATACGTCTTTCAGAAAATATTCGTTTTTTTCAGAAGAGGTTTTAGCTGTATTGGCGTGAATGACAATATTTGCACGTCGAAGAAATATTACTATAAGACCGCCGGAACACGTTAAGTTGTCTCGATGGTCGAGGGCCAGATCTTCGTTGCAAGCCATAGTTTAAATTGCTCTTTTGTGCTATTTCCTTCTACTTGGATGCTATTTAAATTTGAACTCGTACACGAAGTCAATGAAGTAATAACGGGACCATTAACACTGTTTCACGGCGACAACGCGGCGATGGCAAGTTGGCATGAATGGCATTGTTGTTCAGCTCAAGTTCTCGGCAAGCAAATTCGAATGTTTATTTCATGATCATCTTCGTGGCACCAAATGGCTGATCTTGCCTGGGCCTATTA